CAGTTCCAAAGGGTGTCAAGTTTATTGGACATCCTGGAAAACACCATCTTACCCGAAAGAAGTGTGTTGCTCCTGGAGAGGCTTCGCCTACATCCATTGTGTTGTCTTTCACTGATCTGGGATCAGTCAACATCACAGGTATTAGAATCAGAAATTGTTAATGCCATATGTGTGAGAATCACAACGTTGGGAAACTGCTGCGGTACTCGGTGCAAAAAAACAAGGATACAAATAAAAGATAAGCAAATATAGGAAGTAAGAAAATAATCAAGATAAAATAATAATATAAAGTGGCAATAATTAGAGAAACGGCTACTGTGTAGGTACAAACACAACACCAGGTCATGTGACTGGCACCAAGCAACTGGAGTGGCTCATGAGACCAACAGCAGAGGGGAAGAAACTGTCCTTATGGCGAGAGGTTCTGGTCCGAATGGATCGGAGCCTCCAGCCAGATGGGAGAGAGTCAAAAAGACTGTCCAGAGTGAGACAAGTCAGCTGTGATCCAACCTGCACGCCTCAATGTCCTGGTGGGGTGCAGGTCCTGTATGGAGGGGAGTTTGCAGCCAATGACCTCATCAGAGCACATGACATGCTGCAGCTTCTTCTTGTCCCTGGTGATGGCTCCAGCATACCACACGGTGATTGAAGAGGTGAGGATGACTCGATGATTGCGGTGTAGGACTGCCTCATCGACTGTGCTGGTAGGTTGAATTTCAGCTGCCTCAGGAAGTTCATCCTCTGCTCGGCCTTTTTTATGACGGAGGTGGTGGGCTCCTACTTGAAGTCTTGGGTGATGATGGTGGCCAGGAAGCTACATGGGACCACCATCGGGATGGGAGTGTCAGACAGGGTTATGGGGCGGAGTGGCGCTGTGTGCTTCCTAAAGTCCACAAGAACCTCCGTTGTCTTCTGGGTGTTTAGCACCAGGTTGTTGTGGCTGCACCAGGACACCAGCCGCCCGACCTCCGTTCTGTGGGCAGAGATGAGCCCAACAACGGGCTGCAAACTTGAAAAGCTCGACAGACTCGTGGAGCAAAGGAGCAATCACAAGTTTAGAGTGTTTGTTTAGGCATTTTGAAATAGAATTGAATAGACTTCATTGATCCCACAGTGGGGTGGTTAAGGCAGCACATACACTTTGAGAATAGAAAAAATAAATACACAAGGGCATTAGGCTATTACTGCAACCTTCATTAATAGAAAAAAACTGAATAAAAATAGAGAATTGTGTTTGTCTTGATCAGCATTTTGCATTGTTACAGAGACATTGTAGTTTAGAGTTTGGTACATGCTAAAAAGGAAGCAGATCAGTAATCGCTTCACTGGAGTGTTTTGGAAGTTTGGACACTTTTATACCTAAAGACATTTAGATTGTATTGGATCATGAGAAAAATAGGTATTTGAGCTCTGGTTCAAGACTTTGGTCTTCTCAGTGTGATGCCTTACAAAGAGTCAGGTCTTTGACTAGATGGATCTCTGGAAGCCAAGAAACCAAGTAATGTGTGATCTGGTCCCCCGCCCAGGTTACAAACAGTCCCATACCGAGCACACGTGAAAACAAAGCAGGCCAGCAGTGGGGGAGTAACCGTAGCTGCACTGTGACACAGTGGCATGTTGATGAGTTTGCAGGTCACTGGTGGTCAATGGGCCCCCCATGGCACCACACTTTCATGGCCCCTTGTGTTTCCTACTGACTACACACACACAAAGAGACTCTCCTGGCTCAGTGCCACATTTCCACTGCTCCACATAAAGGCAACTGGGTGTCCTTCTAAGGACATGTTTGGCCTTTCTAATGAATATCAATATACACAAATATTTATGCCAATTCCAGGCATTTTATATGGTATCTCCTGACATGTTATACACATTTTAAATTGTATTTTTGCACACAAAGGAAAGCATACTTAAGAAGCTGAATGTTAAATGATAAATGACCCGCACTTGTATAGCGCCTCTCAGAGTAAGGACTCCAAAGCGCTTTACACTACAGTGTATCACTCATCCATTCACACACACACACATTCACACACTGGTGGTGATGAGCTACGATGTAGCCACAGCTGCCCTGGGGCACACTGACTGAACACTGCATGTTCTCCATAGTTCTAGGCTACGAACCCAGGACCACATCCTCAGTAGCTATAGAGAAGTTTTGTCACAGTGTGAGTACAACCAAGTCATGAAGACCATCACCAAAACCGTCAAGGTAGAAGTCAGGTTATGTAAAGCAGTCCAGACCCTCCAATGAGACCATCTCCTTTGTCAGAATGAGGGGGGCCTCATCAGATCAGCTTCCACTGACATCCTGGGCTCAGGTAGAGAGCTGACTGTCGAACCTGAGAGGCAGCTTAAGTTCCCCGACCACATTACATCGTTGTGATCTGGCAGTGTGTTTGTTTCCAAGTCAGTTGAACTAGCCACGATGCTTGAATGGGCAAAAGAGCTGGTTGTCCAGTAATCAGAGGGTTGCAGGTTCAATCCTGGCTCACAGCAGAGAATGCTGCTGTTGTGTCCTTGAGCAAGGCACATCACCCACTTTGCCTGCTAGTGGTGGCCAGAGGGACTGGTGGCGCCTGTGCTTGGCAGCCTCGCTCCTGTTAGTGTGTCCCAGGGCAGCTGTGGCTACAATGTGGGTGAATGGGTGAATGACTGTTTGTGTTGTTACGCGCCTTGGGGGGTTCTAGGTCAGAAGGCATATCAAATACAGGCCAGTGTAAATTTTGACAAGAAATTTTAATTTAGTTTTAGTCTTTTGACTAAAATTCTTTTTTTATTTTATTCACAATTTAATCATCCAATTTGTTTTAGTTTTAGTCTTATTTTAGTCGACTAACATACATGTATTTTTCCTCTGATGCAATAATTTATTTTATTTTATTTTTTTCACCGTGTCCTGTCCAACATTGTTTTACTGAACAATCACACGAGAATAAATCACAGTGCATTTAGTGCCAACCACAGCCTTAAGACATGTGTTGAACGTGCCCAAGTCCATACTTATGAGAGCACCATGTGAGCACCTGTGTGTGTACACGCGCTTGTATATATGTAAGATTTCTCTCTATAGGAGCGTCCAATAGAGAGTGTGAGGGGCAAGGGCGTCAGTTTGTTTTCAGAATTGCTGGGGACAATAACCATACACTTGAGTGGGGTTTAAAAATTGCTGGGGACAATAAAGTAGGCTAGCACAGGGGTCAGAGGCTCTCTAGCCGCATGCGGCTCTTCCATCTGATGTGGCTCTATGTGCTTGTAAAATAATGAATGGATATTTAAATAAAAAGCGTTATATTTTACTGCATTAATTTTACATCTGTATGCCAATTCTAAATGTAAAGATTGTCTGCGTAAACCTGAACAGGTCCAACCCGGTCTTACTGTGAGACCGGGTTGACGCGTCACGCTTGTGCGTAATCATAGGCGCTTCCTGAGCTGGAGGATGTCAGATTCTGGGCTTCTCCTCAGACAGGCTCCTGGATGCGTCGCCACATTGGAGACAGAAACAAGCACTACGCAACCAAAGTTTCATAATCAGGTGTGGCAGTGTGAGTGTCCTGTCACAGTGTCCCGATAGATAATGCGCCCTGGCTACTTGGCCAAGGGGATGTCCCTTTGGCTGACTGGTTAGGGTTAGGGTTAGGTATGACTCTCACCCGGGAGTCTGGGGATCGGATCCCGCCCGGGCCCTCGTTTCTCCACCTTACCTTAACACATATTGACGGATAAACTCAAGGATGTTGGTTGTTTTGAAAGAATTACCCCGACGCACACTGATGCGCATGAATGAGCTGACATTTTAATCTTGTTCCCGTCTCTAATATGGAGACGCATGACACATCCAGTCTGAGGCAGAATAGCTCTTCAGCTCAGAAAGCTCCTGTAGAGACATTTGATCACGCACAAAGTTTATGTGGAGCAGAAGCGGCCGGGCCACGGCAGCTGAAATGATCCTAGCCTACATGAAGTCAAACTGTTTAATTGTAACATTAATATGTTACTGGACATGCTGGTCTGGTTGGTTAGACCAGTGTTTGAAGTGGAAAACACACACACACACACACACACACACACACACACACACACACACACACACACACACACACACACACACACACACACACACACACACACACACACACCAATTAAAATAATGCTGACAGCGTGGACTAGAAGCCAGGTGATGGTTTACGTATTGAAATGATGATCAGGCTGCTGTAAAATGTAATCTCCATCCACATCCAGACACAATTATCCTCTATTCTTTCTCTATTTGCTCTGCTCCTGTCTGGGCTGACGGTGCGCACGGCGCGCCTAACTAGCGGCTGATGCACATTTTACGCATTTGGAGAGGTGGGCTGGATGCTTTGCTTTTACTGGAAGATGGTCCACTTAACGCACGGGTGTAGACTACATATTAATGACAAATGAATGAAAATTAAACTGGGAGTTTTTACTTCATATTTTAGAAATTAAAATGACGGGGGAACACATTTATGACGTCTTTTTAAACGAAATTTTCTAGCATGTCCTGCCTGCTTCACTTAAGTCACTGCTTACTAAGGTCCGTCCAGAATTACCGTGGCCCACCCAAAAGTGAAAACCTGGCGCCGCGCCTGTTATAAACCTCTGCAAATTGTTGTTCTTCACGTTATCAAACTCAGACTTTGTACAGCTAATGTCAAGATGTAAAATTATGAATTCAGTCGAGCTCTTCCGTCCCTCCCTCTCCTGCTCTCCTGGAAACCCGACATCGGCTGTCAGAAGCGGGAGGTGAAGAAGGAGATGAGGCAAACAGAGTGAGTGCGACATAAAGAAACCAGACTGGTGTGGAGGTGAGCAAAACAGAAGGAAAAGTGTGGGTGTTGAATCCCCCACGGGTGCGACGCCCATGCGAGCGACCGGTACCGGCTGCTGTCACCTGGTTGTGAGCAGCGCTCTGCTGTCTGAGGGTAGGCCCCGCCCACAACGCTGCGGGCGCTGTGGCGCCCAGTGTTTTCTTTACTGTGGGAAACGGGTAATAATGGCTCTTTGATGGGAACAGGTTGCTGACCCCTGGTATGAGATCTGAGCTGGTAAAACAAAAATCCTCATCAGCAGGCATTTTTTAAAGTGGGGGGGACACAGCTGCCAATCACAAATTTTGCCGGGGACATGTCCCCGGCGTCCCCGGTTAAAATGACGCCTATGGTGAGGGGCCACAGATCTGCCCCCCAAAGATGTGTAGGAGACGGAGGGAGCTCCAAGTCCCAGAGATCCAGGAGCTGCCCCAGAGCACAGGGACCCCAGGGAGACTGCAACCAGAAAAGCCCCTGCCCCTGATGCAATAATTTTCAACTTGTAGGAAATGTTAACTACAGCTACTTGGAATTGTAAAGAAATGTGTAAAATTCACATTTCACACTTTGGATTAGTCAGACTCGATGTTTATAATTGTTTCTATAACAATAATTATTGGAAAATACCAAAATGAACACTGAAAGTTTAAAAGTGGGCCTCTCAATATTAATAAAATAAAAATATGTATAATGTGCATTACTATTTGTAAACATGACATAAAATGACATCATACCAACAAAAACAATAAAATGTGCTACTAAGTTAAGAATTGTTTTCAGAGTTTTTATTAGACTGGTTGATCAAGGTGGGACACCTGAGTGTTTCCCCTCACAAATGCACCGCTAGAACACGGAACGCTGATCATAAAGGCCGTAGCAGTGCCACGAGAATAAAAGCGATTAGACAACAAGATGCGCTTCGCTCTGCTTCATGGTTCGATTTGGTTTGCTGAGCTCCAGCACTCCTTCTCCAGTCCCCGCTCGCTGCTAACAACATCAAAACACGTTTCTAAGCAGGGGAAACCCCGGATATGTACTCACCAAGCAAATACTTTTCAGATCATCACATCTACTGCTTTTCCTCCCAGCCACGGACATTTCCTCCCTTTAGACATAACTTTTACCGCCATAATCATCAGTGTGATGTCAGCGGTAGCTTGTTCTTTTTTCCAGTCTCCACCTTTGACCTTCTCTGATTGGATTTTCATTTCTGTCAGTTTTCGTTGTTGTCTCTTATTCGTCAATAAAAATGTCTGTCAATATTTGTCATGATTTAGTTTTTATTGAGGTGTATGTTTACCTTTTCATTTCGTTTTAGTCTGCAAAAATGAATTTGTCGCGAACAAAAAGGATAATTTTAGTCAACAAAATCAACACTGATGCAGGCCATTTTTTATCAGCAGGCAACATCGTAGATGTAAGATACCCTGATCATCAGTCAATGACGTAAAGTATGTGGAGGAGCTCATTTTTCTATTGCAGTTCCTCCTCTGCTCACCCATTCACATACTGGCTCTAATCCCTGACACACAGTTTATTATCATCCCTGTATATTTTTTGTTTCCTGCTGGCTCTAGCCCTCCCAGTATCATGCCCCTCTAGTGTATGTATTTGACAATAGTGCATTTGCCTATTTCTTTGGTCTGATTTTCTTCCTTGTAGGGCATCTAATCACTGTGACTGGTGTTGATGGTTTTGACAGGACTGTAGGGTTGATTATGTTTTTTGCTACTTTAACAGCTCGAGCCACTGCCTATAGTGCACCCAGCTGCTGTTCAGATGGACTCCTGACAGGAAAGACAGGAAATTATGTGGACGAAAGAAGGATTGCGACTGGCCAGGACTATATCCGCAGAACTGTCTTGGTTGAGGTAAAATAAAAGAAATGTACTTTTGTCACTGACTGAAAGTGTCTTTAATTGTTCATAAATCACACTTGTGCATATGCTCTTTTTAAAAACAAATAATTTCTCTCCATCAAACTCTGCTTTCAGCCGGAGGGTCTGCCCAGAGAGTACACATACAGTGTTTTCTTCTGTCCAAATGGTCAGTGCTGTAATTTTCCTAAGATTTAATCCCTGCAGTTTTTCACGAGGCTAAAGGGACATTAACATTTTCATAGTTTTTTTTATAGTATACCTTGCACCATTCCTATACTACTATATTATTTGTGCCTTCATCTTGAAATTCTGTTTCCATTTTTAGAGCGGATCCACATTTCCACTCCAAACAAGTATGAGTACCAGTACGTTAAGAAACCAGCCAAGATGGACCAATTTGAGGTGGCTGTGAAGACGCACAACGATGCCCATTTTACCCTTTCTGCTAGTCCCCATGACAGCGCAGAGATGCTAGAAATCGTACTAGGTGGTAGGCAGAATACTCGCTCCTGGATTTCTTTGGGCAAAATGGGTGATCCTCTGGTCAGTGTCTCCACACCCAGTATCCTGTCCTGGGATGAGTTCCGCAGTTTCTGGATCAGCTGGAAAGGAGGAGTGGTACAGGTGAGACAAGAAGGACCTAATGTGTTTCCCTGAACTATTCTGACTTGGTAGGCTGGTGATTTTATGCTTTAATACAAAGAAATCTTAATCTGAATCAGTCTGTAGCCACTAGGGTTTGTGTGTCATGAGAACTGGTGCAACTTTTATCAGGAATGATCAGGATTAACATGATTACTTGGTCAACCTTGACCCAGGGCTCACTCTGCAGCCTTTGGTACACCCCTTGCATGAATTCACCAAAGGCTGTGATTGAAAACTTGCACATTACACTGTTTTTTCTATTGGATACCAAGTATGGATTAGCTGGATGGTCTTGCATATTTGCAGGTTGATGTGACAATGACACAAATTGTTTTCTTCTCTCTGAAGCCTATCTTCATTTCTTTGTCTTGCAGGTAGGCCATGGTAAACATCCAAACAACGAATCACTCATCCTACAATGGGCAGGCCAGTTCCACGGACAGGTTTGACACTTTTCTGGTGTAAAGGGACAAGTTGCAGCACTTTATTTTTACTGATTATTTCAAAATGTTGTTTGTTTGTTGTATTTTCAGGTGCAACACATTGGCTTTTCAACAGGGTGGGGCTCCGTGGGAGAGTTTAAGATCTGGAGGAAGGAAGAATCTGATGACGACCACAATGAGGCCTTCACGCTGGGAGTGCCACAAAACATGGTGCCTGGATCAGAAAAGGCCACCACATATATGATTGGTACACTAGTTTGTGGTCATCTACATTCACAAATCACCTCATCTCATAAAAAACGACTGACAATATAAATCATTAATATATAAATTTTGATGTGTGTCTATGTATTAGGTGATGTGATGGGACCGACTCTGAATAACCTGGATAAACTCCTGAGGCTGCCTTTTGGGTGCGGGGAGCAAAACATGATTCACTTTGCCCCTAATGTCTTTGTTCTGAAGTATTTGCAGAAAACCATGCAGCTGAGCTCTGAGGTTGAAAATGAAGCAACCGACTATCTGCTTCAAGGTAAAGAAGCTAAAAATATTGTTTGTATTTTTATTTGTACTTGCCGATTCCGAGAGTTAATCCTTTTGAGTTGACCCTTTCATCTGAAATTAGTTTTTAATGATTTTGCTTTTCTTTGTTACATTATTTTCCTCACTTTTAAGTCAGTTTCTAATTTTGGCTGCAAAGGAAGACTTAAATTCTGCAAAAGTGATCTTATATACAGTAGACACATTGCCTTTAATTCCCATTAGTCATCATCACACACTGTTGAAATTACATCTCCACATTTGACCCATCCCCGTGGGGAGCGGTGAGCTGCAGCAGTGGCCACGCTTGGGAAATTATTTGGCAGTTTAACCCCCCAATCCAACCCCTTACACCTGATTGTGAAGCAGAGAGGCATTGGGTCCCATTTTTAAAGTCTTTTGTATGACCCAACCAGATTTGAACCCCGATCTCCCAGTCCCAGGGCAGACACTCATACCACCAGGCCACTGGAAAGATTATATAAGGTTTCATATATATATATATGTGTGTGTTCCCTCCAACCACCACCAGCAGGCAAGGCGGGTTAAGTGTCTTGCCCAAGGACACAACAAAAGAGAAGTAAATAATGAAAGGGATTTTTTTTGTCACGTTTTCATCATTTGTAAAATACAAGTCAGTTTTTGGCCAGTGCCTCATGTTCCTTGTACCTGAAATAAAATTGATATAGTTTTCTTTTTTAGAAAATATGCGCTAAGTTCACATCATGTCAATGCATTCTAATCCCATTTTACAGTGTGGAACTGAAAAAGCATTTTAAATTATTTTTCCTGATTATAATCAGTCACTCATGGCCACACATGAAAATAGTCTCCTACTTCTATCTCCTGCATTAGCTTCTGATAGAAAATAGACGGTGAAACTGTAGGATTTGAAAAGCCTGACAGATCTACATCACACTGTTCCTTAACAATCGTGGACTCACACATCTTCACTTGTGATGGGGAAAGCTGTTGTAGCTTCGAGTAAACAGCAGACAACGCCCCGACTAGTGGAAGCCAACCGTTAGCATTAGCAACACCACCACACAGAAAAACTCCTTCAGGCTTGTATTATTTGTATTTGTGATAAAACATCCACTTTGCAAGTCTGTGTTAGAGTTGCGTAATTGTTATCTAGTCTGAGGCGAGATGTCCACATGTCAGGAAACAAGACTCCAAATCCTGCTGTCTGCTGCAGCAGACTTGTCCATGCTGATCCAAGCAATGGCTGGCTTTTGTTGCCCCGAGTACGGCTTGCAAGGCATTCTTTCCTACCAGACACCAGTGCGAACATACTAATTAAAAAAGATTCCCACACCTTTATTATTATTATATTATTATTATGTGGCGCCTGTGCTCGGCAGCCTCGCCTCTGTCAGTGCGCCCCAGGGCAGCTGTAGCTACATCGTAGCTCATCATCATCAGTGTGTGAATGTGTGTGAATGGATGAATGATACACTGTAGTGTAAAGCGCTTTGGAGTCCTTACTCTGAGAGGCGCTATACAAGTGCGGGTCATTTATCATTACTGAGTTTGCCCTCTACAAAGTATCTTCTGTCTGTTCTCATCCAGGCTATCAGAGGCAACTGACCTACAAGAGACAGGATGGATCCTATAGCGCTTTTGGGGAACGGGATTCCTCTGGCAGTATGTGGTGAGTTATTATAGAGGTAGTGAAACCATGTTCAACACATGTTTTGGTCACGCAGCATTTGCTGATATAAGCAGAGAATGTATTTTGTCTTCAAATAAACAGAGTTAACTGGGCGTTAATGAATGTATTCCTGTTGCTGCTTTACTATAGACTGTTTATTTTGTGTTCAAGCAAGCAGACTTAATCTTATCAAAAACTGTAACACAGAAACCCTCTCACAGCAGGGAGCTCCTCTGCTGCTGTAATTTAACAGCCCTTTTACACAATGTGCATTCCTCCAGTTGATTTACGAGTTGAGGTGGATATCATGATCTTAACTTGAGCTAACGCTGTGAAACAGCAGGTTATATAAACAGTAGAGGATCGTAAACAGACTGCGTGATTGGGTCCCGGAGGCAGGTAAAGCTGTCAGGATTTATTCACAGTTTTTTTTGGGTTCAAATCCCAGCTACACAATTTACCCACACAGCTTTTGACCCCGCAAACAAACACTAAATGCTACGTTGGAGACGGAATTATATGTAGCCTGGTGCCATTTTATGACATATTTTGGAAAATACAAGTGGAGCATGCCTCCTAATGACTCACTACCATGTTGTAATTGGTAACATTAAACTGTCATGGGAAGCTTGAAGTCTTCTTGATGACTACTACAGGATATGAGGATGTAACAAGCTGCAGTTTTTGGTGTTTTATTTGTTGCTCAGGGCAACAAGTGTGGGTTGTGAGCATAAAACAAACAGTGAGCCCTTGGTAAACCTGCACCAGACACTTTATGAATCAATCAACGACACATTTGCATCCAAAACAAGCCAGGGCTTAGTTTTAGTTCCAGGGTTCATGAGTGGAGCAGCATTGCTTTAATTGCCATCTTAACAGCAGATGTAATGCCCGTTATTGTTTCCCAGCGTGTAAAACATGAATGAGGGAACTGATGGGGTCTAATAATTTTAAATGTATAACAGCTAGCGGTAAGGATTAGGTGTTCTGTTTTTGCCATTTTTCACAGCAAGGCTGTTAACACCAACAAGGATTGTTCAAAAACGGAAGTAAGGAGAGACACATGTTGCAGTTTTTAAGTCATAAAATATACATGCTTTTCTTCCTTAAGTCTTAAAACAATAATAAACATTTTCTTAGCTTTGTCACATTGTTAAAGTATTTTAAATCTAGCCCAACATTAAAAAGTCTTCATATTTATTTAGGGGATTTTTGTCTTTTTGTTAAATGGTTGCTGGATTCTTTTCCAATTTCCCTGGTTCGCCTAATGGTCGTCAGGTTAGATATCCCACATTTTGCAAGAGACACAGCTATTTTAAAGTATAAGTTCAGATTTTTTTCAAGTAAGATTTTGTGGAAAAGATGTAAACGTTAATTTATTATAGCTCTTGGAACAACTTCAGTTTGAAGAAATGCAGTTTAATTCTAACCAGAGTAACAAGCTAACTGTAAGCATGACTCTAATATTTATGGATTATTAACAGCCTTACAACATCCCCCCAAATAAAGTAGTTCATGCAAATGCACTGTAAAAATACTGAAAAAAAAATTGATCATAGTATTTTTGCCAACATGTATCCAAAGACTGCAATGGACATGCTACAGCTAACTGCCGCTGCTTTCTGTGATTGTAAATAACCACAAGTTTTATATAAATAACCCTTTATGAAAATTTTTGTTTAAAATTAAAACCATAAAGGTTCATAAAAGTGGGCTTTTGAGACTGGAGTTCTAAACCAACTTACAAGGGCCTCACTCAGACTAGCTGTTAGCATGTCAGTTCAATAAGACCTAGTCTTTGTGTCATACTCATTTTTCTTTCAGAGCAAGGATAGGCCAGCACATGATTAAAATATTACCATTGGAACTATGGAGACATCATTTGCTCTGAAATATGAATTATTTTCTTGACATGTTATCCCGTCTCCACTCATGTGAATTTTACCCATTTTCAACATAAGAAAGAAAGAAAACAATATTTTATATAATATATGTAATCCTAGATTCCCAGGAAAGCTTATCAAATCAAATCACTTTTATTGTCACGTCACATGTGCAGGTACACTGGTACAGTACATGCGAGTGAAATTCTTGTGTGCAAGCTTCACTGCAACAGATTTGTGCAAAAATACAGTAACGTAAAAACAAACAAAATATAAAAATGGCTAATCTAAGTAATAATATGTATAGAATGTAAGATATATACATTACTAAATGTGTGTGCTAGTATTTTGTTTTTCTACGTGTGTGCATGTGAGTGTGTGTAGAGTGTGTATATACGTGTTTTACAAATGAATAAAGTAAACTATAAGATAAGAGATATAAAATATACAGTGGTTGGTATGTGCAAAACAGTGGCATTAATGTACAGTATGGAGTGTGTAATGTTGGAGTTTCAGTAGTGAGGGTGAGGTGTCTGCGCCGTGTTCAGCAGTCTGATGGCCTGATGGAAAAAGCTGTCTCTCAGTCTGCTGGTTCTGGACCGGATGCTGCAGAACCTCCTTCCTGATGGAAGTAGTCTGAATAGTTTTTGGCTGGGGTGACTTGAGTCCTTGATGATCCTCCCCGCTTTCCTCAGGCACCGCTTCCTGTAGATGTCTTGGAGGGAGGGAAGGTCACCTCCAATAATCCTTTCTGCACACCGCACTACTCTCTGGAGAGCTTTGCGGTTGTAAGCGGTGCTGTTGCCATACCAGGTGGAGATGCATCCAGTGAGGATGCTCTCAATGGCACAGCGATAGAAGGTCCTGAGGATGCGGTGGCTCATGCCAAATCTTTTCAGTCTCCTGAGAAAGAAGAGGCGCTGCTGTGCCTTCTTCACTGTATTGTTCGTGTGCACTGACCACGTAAGATCCTCAGCCAGATGAACTCCAAGGAAACGGAAGCTGCTCACCCTCTTCACAGCGTCGCCGTTGATGGTGATGGGGGTGTGTATTCCTCCACTCCTCCGGAAGTCCATTATCATCTCCTTTGTCTTTGTGATGTTGAGGGTGAGACGGTTGTCCTGACACCAGTGGGTCAGGGCGCTGATCTCCTCCCTGTAGGCCATCTCATCGTCGTTGGTGATGAGACCTACCACTGTGGTGTCATCCGCAAACTTCACAATGATGTTGGAGTTTCTCGTGTTTCTCTGTGTGAACCTCTACTGCCTCCTGCTGGTTGATTTGGGGACTATAAACCTGCCGCTGAGACACTCGGGATTGCTACAATTTGTGTCAGAACTGGGATCGCTGAGTGTCTAGCAGACACTATGGAGCCGACCATAGGCGAAATAGAGCATGTAATCCGGGACAACTACTCGATTCTGGGAAACATGGCTGCCGAGACCCAGCAAAGAAGACCCGGAGCTGGGGCGGCCAGAGGGCCACAGTGCACCCCGGAACAGACACCCCCTGCGGCAGGAAGAGATTCCTGGGGTTGCGCCTTAGCTTCCTGGCAGGACGGTTGCTAAACTGCAGCATTACACCGGGGCAACACAGCTAGAGCCGTACCTGGCCCAAGTCACGCTGGCTGCCACTCACAACGGGTGGGGTCAAGAAGAGACTGCCACCCACCTGGCGCTCGCACTGGAGGGGCCAGCACTCCAGGTTCTGCTGGACCTGCCCCTAGAGGAGCAGCGCGACATCCGGGCTCTGACTACGGCGCTCGGCAGACGGTTTGGACAGAGACCACCAGCTGAACAGAGCAGGGAAGAGCTGGCTAGCCGACGCCGACGTGAGGGAGACGTGAGGGAGACACAGACCTTTATTAGGCTTTTTCTTCAATGCTTTGTAACGCTACAGACACCGATCCTCTATCACGCTCCTACCACACAGAGTCACGGTGTCAGTTAACCATGCTAATTCAACCCGCTCCACAGAACACACATCACCTTCCCTGTGGCTTACATTAACATAACACTCACACAACACGCAAATCAACACTTAGGAACTAGCAGAACGAAACACATATAACACAATACCCAGAATGCACCTGGCTTACAACCCCAGCCAGGTCAGTAGTGGCCCTATGTAACATGAAGCGTTTGAAGCAGAACCACACCGAATGCAACACCACCACCGTTCTCCAATGGATATGCTGTTATTGAGCTGTTAAAGCATGCACACACATACATAGTCACCCACACACAACACAGAAGGAGAAAAGATGGATGGGATGGGGGCGACGGTGGCACAGGAGTTAAGTGCTCGCCCTGTCATCGGAAGGTTGCAGGTTCGAGCCCCGCTCAGTCTGTCGCTGTCATTGTGTCCTTGGGCAAGACACTTAACCCACGTTGCCTGCTGGTGGTGGTCGGAGGGACTGGTGGCACCAGTTCTCGGCAGCCTCGCCTATGTCAGTGCGCCCCAGGGCAGCTGTGGCTACATTGTAGCTCATCACCATCAGGGTGTGAATGGGTGAATGACTGATTGTGTTGTAAAGCGCCTTGAGGGGTTCCAGGACTCTAGAAGGCGCTATATCAAATACAGGCCATTTTACCATTATTTTCCCAGTCCATCCCTAATGCTCACGCACCAAACTTCAGCTAGCGGTTAGCATTTTGGTTGTACACAGCTTTGGCCTATCCACTGAGTGAATTTAATTTTTGAACGGCGCCGGTTTGAAGAAGCAATTTAGTTTAAAGACCACTCCGGTAGAGGCGGGGGTTAAATAAGCAGTCTCTGAAATCACGGTCACATTCTGGCTCAGTTTTTGAGACCTCCTGTAGATAAAAATCCAACCATTTCTGCCTGTTATTCAGGAAGTCTGGACAGGAAATATAACCACAGTTTCCTGAAGGAGAGGAACAAGGTACAACGAAGGTACTATGGGACATCACACCATCGTGTGGCCTGGCTGAAGACACATCTATGTAAAGGCATTTGAATGTGATGCTGGGGAGTGGCCCCGCCCTCCACCTTCAAGCCCCCAATGTCACTGCCATTTCTCAGTTCGATAGCCACACTTCACCGAGCTAGGCTATGAGGGGGACAGCCCTGCGTTGTACCTCATTCCTCTCCTTC